TAACCAAGCTCATTGAGGTTTCTCGGGAGTTCAAGATGCCGCTCTGTTTAACGTTCATTGATTTAAAGAAGGCCTTTGATTCTGTTGAGACGGAAGCGGTCATTGAAGCCCTAGCCAATCAGGGCATTCAAGCCCAATACATCAGGATCCTCTGTGAGCTGTATTGCGGATTCACTACCAGGATCTCACCATTCTACAAAGAAGTGATCGTTGATGTCAAGAGAGGGGTGCGGCAGGGTGATACCATTTCACCGAAACTCTTCAGTGCCACCCTCGAGAACATCATGCGACAACTAGAATGGGAAGGAATGGGAGTGAAGATAGATGGTCGGCAACTACACCACCTCCGCTTTGCTGATGACATTGTTTTAATAACACCAAACATCAGCCAAGCGGCACAAATGCTGGCCGACTTTGACCGTGAGTGTGGAAAGGTAGGACTACAGCTGAATCTTACGAAGACAATGTTTATGAGAAACAGCCTTGTTCCTGACGCCCCATTCGCTCTCAATGGAACGACCATCTCCGAATGCAACAGCTATGTGTACCTAGGTCGAGAGGTCAACATGAGAAATGACCTGGCACCCGAGCTGCGCAGGAGGAAGAGAGCGGCTTGGAACGCCTTCAAGAACGTCGAAGAAATAGCTAAGAGGACGAAGAACCTCCGGCTCCGGGCACATCTCTTTGATTCCACTGTTCTTCCTGCATTAACATATGCCTCAGAGACCTGGGCCCTACGCAAACAAGATGAGAACGCTATTCAGGTCTCCCAAAGAAGAATAGAAAGAGCTATGCTTGGAATAACACGTTTCACTCAAATGAGAGAAAGAATCCGGAGTTCTGACATCCGTCGACGATCAAGGATCAGGGACGCTGTCTCATATGCCAAGGTGTCGAAAATCAGATGGGCTGGTCACGTAATGAGATTTAAAGACGACTATTGGACTAGAGCTGTTACTGATTGGATTCCACGGGATGTCAAGAGACCGCGTGGCCGCCCACCTATCAGATGGTCAGACTTCTTCGTCAAGATCATGAACGATCGGTTTGAGGCCCTTCATGTTCCCGGAGCGAACAGATGCCATTGGGCTACACTAGCACGCGAAAGGGACAAATGGAGACGTTACTGGCGCCCGCTCGAGCAAATCGACGATCAACGGGAGGGCCTTTACCTTTACCTTTAATCTTTTGGCCGTTGGGGTAAATGCCATAAAGTGAAGTTTTTAGTGAAAATTTTTAGTGAAAACTCAAGCCTTAGCACTTTGATGTTGTGAACATTTTCCCCTAATGTGCCCAGACACACTGGGCACTGGATCCAGGCATATGTGGAGTGAAAGATGACAGGCATGTGGAGAAACAACCTCCAGGAGCAGCTGATGGCTGTTCACTTTTTTGCCAAAACCACACACATTTTATAGGGGTCTCATCTTAAAAGGATGGTCCAATCACAGAAAGTTTACATTACTGACCTATCACCACTCCAACTCTGCTTTGCTCTGGTCCAATCCCAAGCAAGGCTATATGCTGCAGTTAGGATGACTTGCTAAGCATATGTGACAGCTTCTGTGTCTTGGGCTCATGTGACCAGGAGGTCGAGTGAAGCTCAAGGTCCAATACCTGGTGCTGGCTGACACCCTGTTCTTGCCAACTTTGCCCATATACTACCTCTTTCAAAGCGTTGCTTCTGGGCCATTTTGCAAGGTTGGGTCTTATCTGCTCCAGTGCCTGTCACCATCCTCCATATTTTGGCTTTTTGAGAAGTGTCCATATTGTTTTCTAAAAAGATTAAACCAGTGTATATTTTCATTTTGATTCTGTTGAGACGGAAGCGGTCATTGAAGCCCTAGCCAATCAGGGCATTCAAGCCCAATACATCAGGATCCTCCGTGAGCTGTATTGCGGATTCACTACCAGGATCTCACCATTCTACAAAGAAGTGATCGTTGATGTCAAGAGAGGGGTGCGGCAGGGTGATACCATTTCACCGAAACTCTTCAGTGCCACCCTCGAGAACATCATGCGACAACTGGAATGGGAAGGAATGGGAGTGAAGATAGATGGTCGGCAACTACACCACCTCCGCTTTGCTGATGACATTGTTTTAATAACACCAAACATCAGCCAAGCGGCACAAATGCTGGCCGACTTTGACCATGAGTGTGGAAAGGTAGGACTACAGCTGAATCTTACGAAGACAATGTTTATGAGAAACAGCCTTGTTCCTGACGCCCCATTCGCTCTCAATGGAACGACCATCTCCGAATGCAACAGCTATGTGTACCTAGGTCGAGAGGTCAACATGAGAAATGACCTGACACCCGAGCTGCGCAGGAGGAAGAGAGCGGCTTGGAACGCCTTCAAGAACATCGAAGAAATAGCTAAGAGGACGAAGAACCTCCGGCTCCGGGCACATCTCTTTGATTCCACTGTTCTTCCTGCATTAACATATGCCTCAGAGACCTGGGCCCTACGCAAACAAGATGAGAACGCCATTCAGGTCTCCCAAAGAAGAATAGAAAGAGCTATGCTTGGAATAACACGTTTCACTCAAATGAGAGAACGAATCCGGAGTTCTGACATCCGTCGACGATCAAGGATCAGGGACGCTGTCTCATATGCCAAGGTGTCGAAAATCAGATGGGCTGGTCACGTAATGAGATTTAAAGACGACCGTTGGACTAGAGCTGTTACTGATTGGATTCCACGGGATGTCAAGAGACCGCGTGGCCGCCCACCTACCAGATGGTCAGACTTCTTTGTCAAGATCATGAACGATCGGTTTGAGGCCCTCCATGTTCCCAGAACGAAGAGATGCCATTGGGCTACACTAGCACGCGACAGGGACAAATGGAGACGTTACTGGCGCCCGCTCGAGCAAATCGACGACTAACGGGAAGTTAAGTGATTAAGTGATTAAGTGAATGAAGGTTCCTTTATCCTCACATATTTTATTTGTTCCAGTCTCACTGTTGAACATTTGTTCACTTTTGCTTCCACTTAGTTGGCCAGTGGTATTGAGTCCTGATAACACATCTAGTTCCAATGTCATGAAGTATTCTACCTGTATTTTCCTCAATACTATGATGAATTCAGATCTTATATGGAGATCTGTAATCCATTTTTTTTAATTTTTTTATTAGTGAAACACCATGAGGTACAGTTATAGACTTATAAATTTTTGTACTTGGGTTTCAGTTATACAATGATCAAGTACCCATCCCTCCACCAGTGCCCATCCTCCACCACCACGGGTCTCATTTTGAATCAACTTTTCTTCTTGGTTTGAGTTAGGGATCTGAGTCCATTATATACGTGTCTGACCTGTTTTCTCAACATTGCTAAAGAGGGTTTTCTTGCTCTACTTAATATTAGTAGATCCTTTGGAAAGATCAGATGACCATATACTTAAGGCTTTATAGCTGAGCTCTCAATTCCATTCCATTGGTCTGAGAGTCTGTCTTGTAGCACCACAAATCTTGTTTACAATAGTTTTATTGTATAAATTAATGTTGGAAAGGAAATCTCCCATCTTGTTTCCTAGGATTGGTTTGGTGGTACTATAACTCCATATAAAATTAAGCAACCTATGTTTGTTTTTTTTAAATGTTATGTTTAAAAAATGTGTGTGTTTTCAAAAGGGCAGCAGCACTCTATCACTCCAGCACTTGCTTTCAGTGGTCTCTGCTTCCCCCACCCTGGGGAGGCCGACGGCAATAGGTAGGCGAAGGAAGGAATGAGAGCCAGGCTGGTCAGTATCAATTGTAGTTTATTCTAATCTCCACTCCCCTTATGCTTCTCTCTCCAGCCCCCTTCATCCTCCTTCTTGCTTCCCTCTCATTCTCTTTCTAGCCTCTGTATCTGACTCTGCCCCCCTCAGATCTTATTGTCTTTGTTTATATAGCAATAATGTAGGGTGGTGATACAAAGGTGGATTGAATACTAACAAATCAACAAAGAGGGGTAAGATCACTCCTCCAGGAGATTAGCTCAAGGATAAAATCTCATCTAAAGAGATTACTCCAGATTACTAGGAGATCCGCTCAAGGGTGGGATCCCAACAAGAGTGTGTCTCTTCCTTCTTTCCTCAGCTAGTACTCCACTTAAATAGTTGTAGTTCTATTTCTAATATTTCTAGCAATGTTATTCTGTATGAGCACAGTAAAAGACATAAATTTAAGGTTTGGTTCTTCCTATATATTCCGCAATATATCTCACTATATATTCTGCAATATATATATATATGTATATATATATATACATAGAGAGACAGACAGAGAGAGAGAGAGAGAGAGAGAGAGAGAGAGAGAGAGAGAGAGAGAGAGACTGCAGTCCTCAGACCAGGTTAGTCTTCCTAACCCCAGCAGTGTCTTAGTCTTTTGCATATAGGAATGCCATGGATTTCTTCAAAATCAAAATATATTGTTTCCTACAACTGTTGTGATTCCTTGTTTTGTCCTTCTGAGAATGATAAACATTCACGTATATTTTTATAATTGTAGCACTGTAGCACTGTCCTCTCATTGTTCTTTGATTTGCTTGAGCAGGCACCAGTAACATCTCCATTGTGAGACTTGTTACTGTTTTTGGTATATGAAATACTCCATGGGGAGCTTGGTAGTCTCTACCTTGAGGGCAGGATACTCTCAGTAGCTTGCCAGGCTCTCTGAGAGGGAGAAAGGAATCAAACCCAGGTCGGCTGTGTGCAAGGCAAACATCCTACCCACTGTGCTATAGCTCCAGCCCATTTTTATTTTTATAGTTATTCAACATAATTTTCCTTCAATTTTTAACTATAAATGCATGTGAAAGTAGTAAGATATTATGGACATAAATTTTCCCCACTCATAAATGGCCAAATAATTACATGATTGATTCATATTTTATACTTGATCAATTGTGCAAACTTTGAAAGCTGGTAAAATATCATAAATATCCATTTATTTATAATTTCTCTATTTGTTTTGACCAAAAATTTGAATCAGAGAATAAAAAGTCAAATATGGAAAAAGGAAAGGATTTTAATCTTGATTTCTCTTATATTTAGTAGTAGGCAACATAAAATGCACAATACAGAAAACTCAAGGCACTTTTAAGTTCTTTGGAAGTGTTCTACTTTTCCCTTTATAATGTGTGATAATACACAGTAACTTCAAAATAATTTATATTTTTGAAATTTTTCTGTTCATTAAGCTTACAGCAATGCATTTAAGCATAAATTTCTAATTTTATTAAGATTTTATAATTAATATTTAATGAGGAGCACAAATTAATATGTATACTCAAGTGCATTTTATGTTCATAGATTTCTTTGTTTCTTTTGAACTGATTTTACTCCTCATTTATATCCCAAATGAACTTCAGATTTACATCTTTCATCTTCTTTTGGAATATTTTGTCGAATCTTTCACTTTGCTCCACAGTAAAGTGATTCTTCCAGTCACCAATGGTACCTAGTGTAATAAGCACATATATAATACACAGTTGTGGTTATCAAGACAAAGTTTCCCCTAATCCTTTTTAATCTCCATGGTAAGCAAAGAAAATGATTGCCCATGTGGCTTGGGAATTAACTTTTCCTCATATTAGGTGTAAACTTCTTTATCTCCTAGACTTGCACCAACTACTATGATTTACTCATAATCTTTCTTTAAATAAAAACAGTAAAATATATAAAGCTAATTGAATTTTAAATATATTTTGCTAAATTCTAGACAATGTATTTAGTAATACATTATAACCAACTTTAAGATACTTTTAAACACATATGTACAAGTTAAGTATTTCTTAAATTTTAAAACTATGTTTAAAAGGTAAAGGCCCTCCCGTTGATCATCGATTTGCTCGAGCGGGCCCAGTAACGTCTCCATTGGAGACTTTGTTGTTACTGTGTCTGGCATATCGAATACTCTCGGTAGCTTGCCGGGCTCTCCGAGAGGGGCGGAGGAATCGAACTCGGGTCGGCCATGTTGGCCGCGTGTAAGGCGAACGCCCTACCCTCTGTGCTATCGCTCCAGCCCAAAAAACTATGTTTACAAGACCAAAACTATCGCTCCAGCCCAAAAAACTATGTTTACAAGACCAAAATTTTTGAAGCAAAAAATTTATGATCACAAATGATGTCTGGAGTTTCCATTATTACAGTTTTGCTTGGAGTGTTAGAATTCTCTGAATAGCAAAGCAACTCTAGTGAAGAAGAAGATGAAAGTCTTCTCTTTTCCCAACTTAAAATTATATAATAAAGCTATGGTAAACAAGATGGTGTGTTACAGGAATAAAGATAGAATCTCAGACCAATGGAATATAATTTCTCAGAGACACTATTAGGTATAGAGTCAGCTAATCTTTGACAAAAAATCCATTTTATCCCATAATCCAAAAATCATTGCCATACCCTTGACCAGACTTCACCATCTTGGGATGGACCTCTTGAGATATTAATCTGCTGAAAATTCAGATATGTGGGTTTTGTGACATAAATCTCCAGGTTTTCTCGGTATCTGGATGGGCTACTTCTTCCCACCTTTCTGTACCTCCAGAAGTCCCAGCAGTCACAGCCACACCTCAAAGCAGGCCCAGTTTAAAAAAATAAAAACTCTACTCCAGCTGTGCCTACCTCATGAGCAGTGATATTGTGTGACTGAAACCCAATCAAGAACAAATTGGTAACTGTTTATCTCATAGTAACTCAAAAAAAAAAATAGAGGAAGAAGAAGAAACCTTGAAAAACTTCAGGTGTGACCACCCAAAACAAACAACTCTGCCCACCAAAAAAAGTTCTCATAAAGTGGGGAGAAGAGATAAACATAGATTTCTCAATGAAGATCTATAGATAGCTGATAGGTATATGTAATACTTTTAAACATGGGGCTATAGAGAGAGTACTGTACGTAATACACTTGCTTTGAAAGTCACTGATCCAAGCTCAATCCCTGGCATCCCATATGGTCCCCTAAACACGGCCAGTAGTAGTTCCTGAGTGCAGAGCCAGGAGTGTCTCTTGAGCATCATCAGGTACTGGGCCAGAAATGAAACAAAACCAAAAAAAGCTCTATACCACTGATCATCAGGGAAATGTAAACAATACAATAACAGCAAGATATCACCTCACACTTGTGAGACTGGCACACTTCACAAAGAATGAAAACAATGGTGTTAGAATGGACATGGGGAAAAGGAGCCCTTATCCACTGCTGGTGGGAATGTTGAGTAATTCAACCTTTTTGCAAAACAAAATGAATACATCTCAAAAAAAGCAATGAATTGAGCTTCCATATGACCCAGCAATTCCACTTTTGCCATCTACCCCAAGGGCCAAAATCCTTGATTTCAGAAAGACATTTGTGCTTTAATGTTTATTGCAATACTATTCACAATAGTCAAAACTTGGAAACAACCCAATTGTCCAAGAACAGATGTCTGGATAAAGAAACTTAAATATAAACTGTAGAATACTACTCAGCTATAGAGATGAAATCATGCTATGTAGAAGGAACTGGAAGGTATTATTCTGAGTGAAGTCAGTCAGAAGGAGAATGACAATACAGAAACTCTCATATGTGGGATGTAAATTAGTATACTAAGGGAGTAACAAGTGACCAAAAGTAACTGAAGCTAAAAACGTTTTTACAGAATGGAACTTACCATATAGTGAGATTTAGGGTGGGGGGAAGTGTTCTCAGGAGGATCTAGGGATAATGGTGATGGGAAACAGATAAATTGGTGGGGAAGGTGTGTGATGTTAGGACGTTGTGTGTGTGTATAACCCTATCGTTAACAGTGTTTTAAATCATCGTGCCTCAAAAAAAAAAAAAGTTATTGCCTCTATCAAAGTGCCCAAACCCCTCTCCACTGTCCTTATGTGACTTTAAATATAACAAAATAAGAGAGAAATTAAAACTTTTAATTAAATTTTAAAATAAAATAACAATTTTAAAACTAATACTAAACTAAGAGAAATAGGGAAAATTTTGTTTGAAAGCTCTTCTGGTAATATATATTCAAATATGTTTAGGAAAGACTTATCAGCATATTTTTTGAATATAAGATCCTGTGAACTATAAAAAAAGAGCTTAATATTGGTCAGGTTAAGTTATCTTCACTAAACAGTGTTTAGCTTCATCGAATACTTTTTGCAACCATTTTTAGTTAGAATCTTTGATATTGTAAAACAGTATCAAAAATTATTTTACGTGGAGGGGTATGTTGGAAATGGTCCTTTTTTAACCCTATGACTAGGATTGAAGAAAACTGGACACCTATGTTTCTTTAAACCACAGAGTATATTACCTTTGCGCAGAAAATGCCCATTATCATTTCTTGTTCCAAGCTCATATTTTAGTACATCATTGTAATTTGCTCGTGGATCAGATTTCATATTTTTAAATGTAGCTTGTTTCACAACAGCATCTAAGTCATCTTCACTGAGTTCTTTCCCAAGAAACTTACAGATTTTTTGCACAGCACTTTTGAGATCCTGAAAGAGTTTTGAGTTTGAAAATCTATTTAATATATAAGGAATACATGAGATGCACACTTGCATCTTTATCACCTTCGGAAACCAAAATTGTTTGGTCTTATTCTAAATTTAAAGTCTAACAAGAATACGTATATATTACTTCTTCAATCCATCCATAAAAGTTGTCAGTTTTCTTAAAGCTTCCTATTGTTCCATTTTATGAAGACAGCATATTTTTGTCTGTTAACTCAGCCATTTATTCAACCAACATTTTGATCATATCTTACATGTTTGAGAAAGTGTGCTACATAAAAACAAATTTAAATTTACGCTAATTGTATTTATAAGGTTTATAATTTAATGAGGAAAAAAGTAAAAATTGCAAGTCTTTCTTGAATTTCAAAGGGGGGATATCCCAGAAAACCCATACAAACTGAAAATATCTAAAGTTGAAAACACAGTCTAGGGTACAGAGAGACAGGACAGGGAAGAATTTCTAAGCACCTTAAAGTGTGCCCCCCTCAAAAAAAAATAGATAAACACATTCTATTCACTAAATATACTAAAAAATATGTATTAGTATAATATACTTTAACATAAACATACCATGGATCATTTACACTAGTCTATAATCAGGAAAAATGATCAAGCACAAAGTCTATTATATAACAATAATATAATAATATTTATTATACAATAAATATATGATGAAATGTATTAACAACTTAATGAAATTTATATTTTATTTAAAAAGAACCCTCTAGTTCAAAATATGATTTCCAACAATTGTAAAGTTAATAAGTGCTACTGGGCCATCAGTAACTATAAATAGGATGTATCCAAGAAATAAAAGCTCAGGTGTGGACGGTTTTACTTATTTGTTTCACAAAATATTTTAAAAGGAAATAACACCAATGTTGTTCAGATTCTTCAAAAAAAATTGAAGAAGAAATAATTCTAACCCCCTTTGATAAGTCCAACTTTAGCTTGATACCTAAGCTATACAAAACCCTTTAAGAAAATTAAAGAAATAACTGATGTCACTTGTAAATATAAAAGCCAAAGTTATCAACTATCACTAGCAAAACAATTTCCATTTAAAACCATATTAAAATGAATCTATACAATGTTCCAAGGAAATTTCTTTCTGGCATGCAAAGATGGCTCAAAATATGCAAATCCGTCTATATAAAACAACATATTTGAAGAATAAAAACAGAACTGTGTGATAATAATAAATTATGTCAAAAATTTACATTTTAAATTATGATACATTTTCATCATTAAAAATACTCAAAAAACTATTTCTCAACAATAAGGAACTCTATAAAAAGGCTTACACTATTATGAGCATACTCAGTGGTGAAAGACTGATATCTTCCTGCTGCGATAATGAAAAAAAGGCAATGATTCCTACTCTGAACACTTATATTCAACATATTGCCATTTGACTGTAACAAGCAATATAAAATAAACTATTACTAAGGAGGCAGGCTTGTAAAGTGTTTGGAAAATGGAGACAATGGTGAAGGGAAGGTCACTCATGTGGTGACATTGGCGTCCATAACAACACATCAGAAGTCCATAACAACAATTATGAACTTTGGAAACCAGGGTGTTTAAATAAAGTATATATTTAAAAAGAATACTAAACCAAATTACATGAGATATTGCTCCCAAGAAGATATTAAACATCAACAGACATGTAAAAGATGCTCTGTGATGAATATTTGGTAAATACTAATCAAAAACCATAATATAATATAATAGTGTTTCCTAAGCATATCAATAAAGAACAGTTATCTACATAGGTATAGAAATTAGAAAAATAGGGGTTGTAGTGGTAGCACAATGGGTAGGGCGTTTGCCTTGCACATGGCCAACCAGGGTTCAAATCCCAGCATACCATATGGTCCCCTGAGCACCACCAGGAGTAATTCCTGAGTGCAGAGCCAGGAGTAACCCTTGTGCATTGCCAGGTGTGTCCCCAAAAAAGCAAAAAATAAGAAATTTGAAAAATAGAAGGCATCCATAGCATCTCACTTCCTCACTTTCTTCATTTTCTGGGTCATATTCAGCAGTACTCAGGACTTACTTTTATATCTATGTAAGGGATCACTCCTGGCAGTGCTCAGAGGATGAGGTGCAAAGGATTAAGACTAGGTCAGCAGTATAAGGCAAATGCCTAAGTCAAGCCACTGTGCTCTCTTCAGCCCTCCTCATTTTTTTCTATACATAATCCCTTTTCTTTTATGCCTACTTGTTTTAAAATTCTGCATTCTATTCCAATGATTCATTATCATTTACTATTACTTTTTTGAAGAAGCCTGGTTTGTTTTCAGTCTTTAGTTCAGACTCCTTTATTCCATATGCTGATCATGCCAGCAACTTTTTCTTTAACAGTTAAAGGAGTTTTAAATTATGTACACTTACTTGGGTAATTACTTTTCTCTGTGAGGTTATAATCTTTGTGAATAATGAATTTAGTTCTGTTTTTTCTAATAATTTGGTGCATGTCACATAGTAAACATTCAATATATCTTAAGTAATTGAATATATTATAAAGAACTGACTTATCAGCAATCACAAAATCAAATACAGTCTGTGTTAGATTTGCTCAATCATTTAAATAGCTATGATTGAATGAAAATATATAAATTTTATGTGTTTTCACCTGGAACTTACTTATCAATGTGTCTGTTTTGTAAAAAAAAAAAAATTAGTTCTGAATTTAAGAGTAAGCCGTGAGGATGTATGCATTGTGAACTAAATTCTGAACAGGATTTAGTTCACAATACATACAGTCTCTTTCTTAGTCAAATCTTAGTGTTTATTTACCTCTTTGCTTCAGAATTCCCTGCTCTTATTTAAGTATATTTGTTTATTAAACTGCTGCTGTAGAAATGTGAGGCTGCAGTGTTGCTTTAACTGTCTACATAAAAATTAATCACAGAATATAACTATGTAGTGATTAAAAAAAACTCCTTAGGAAGACCAATAATTTAGCGCTGAGCAGGAAATTAATACACAATAAAAGGCTATTAGATATGACTGTAACAAAAAAAAGTAGGTCATTGATACAAAGATAAGAAGGGTTTCAAAGAAACATATATAAAAAATACTTCTCTTACCTTCTTCATCTCCTCATATGACATAAACAGAATATTAAATTTTTGTCTGTTGTCATACCAGCCTTTGACATGATCAAACCAAATGCTTCCTACAACTGTGAGGAAAATCAATAAGTAGCAAGGTAAGTGTGTTGCTTTTTTTTTTAAGCAGAAAACTATATCCTTTCTAAAGAAATGCCCCACCTCTTGACAACTAAGATTCCTTTAAAAATGGAGTTTGGTGAAAGAATTACATGACATAACCTACCTTTGTTAAAAGCTGATCTGTCTGTGATAAAACAGTGGAAAATAATAAACCCCAAAAAAGGTTTTGATACTTTTTATTTATTTATTTATTCAATCACTGTGGGAAAAGTTACAAAGATTCAGGTTTAAGTCTCTGTCATGCAATCATCAAACAAATTTCCCTTCACCAATACTTATTTTTTACCACCAAGAACCCCAATAACCCCCCCTCCTAACCCTCCCAATGCCTGTGAGGCAGATGAATTCTAGTTAAAACTCTATCTACTTTGATTAGATTCATTGTTTTGAAAAATGATGCACCATTATTATTTAGAGTTTACACCCCAAAAGCTTTTGATACTTTTTTGATACTGCTTTGATAAGATTAAGTGATTTTTTTCTTACTTCTTTCATATAAAAACACCTCGTTATTTCTACCTTTCTGACATTTTAAAATCTATGATAAATAACTTCAATTATTGACAATGAAATAGAATGTGAATGTAGTCTTTAAATGTGTGTGTTTGTCCAATTCTACAATTCACAAGCCTTGTACATACAGAGGACACTACTGTCCTCTGTAGTGAAAATACCACTCTGACACAGAACCAGGACACAGTCAATAGCTACAGCTTTTCACCATTTTTGAATTGGGTCTTTGGATTTTTTTGCTGTTGAGTTTTGTGAGTGCTTTATAGATATTTAATATTAGTCCTTTATCTAACTTATTGTGTGCAGGTATAATCTCTCATTTAGTAAGGTGTCTTTTTAATTATAGCTTGAGTTTCTTTTGTCATGTAGAGGCTTTTCAACTTGATGCAGTCCTATTTTTTTTTCTTTTCCTTGCCTCTGTAACCATTTTGTTGAAGACACTTCTGTGGTCAATTTCCTAGAGAGTTTTGCCAATGTTTTCTTCAATATATTTTATAGATTCTGGCATAATTTTGTGGCTTTTAATCCATTTTGAGTTAACTTTTCTGGATAGTGTGAGGTACAGTTCTAATTTTATTTTTTACCTGTGGCTATCTAGTTTTTCCATCACTGTTTGTTGAAGAGATTTTCTTCTCTCCATTTCATATTATGTCCTTTGTCATAGATTAACTATTCAAAAACCTGCTTGTTTAACTTAGGCTCATAATTATGTTCGTTTGTTATGCAGGTTCATCTTTATTCTAGGACCATGCAGTTTTGATTAGTATAATTTATACTATAGTTCAAAGTTAAGAAATGCAATGTATCCCATTTTAGTAGATTTTATTCCAAGTCTTTAAAATGTTTTTGGAATGTTAATGGGTATTACACTGAATCTATATAATACTTTAAGTAAGATGGTTATTTTAACAATGTTGATTCCTTCTATCTATGAGCAGATAATATCACTCCATTTTCTGATGTCTTATATTTCTTTTAGCAATGACTTATAGCTTTCACTTATAAGTCTCTCACCTCCCTCATTAAGTTGACTCCTAGGTATTTGATGTTTTGGGGCACTATTTTGAAAGGAAGGGTCTATTTATTTTTCTTGTAGTTTATTATTTTCGTACTCGAATGGCATAGAAGTTTTGGTATTGATTCTGTGATCAGAAACCTTACTGTACTGGTTTATTATTTATAACAGTTTTTTTTGTGTAATCTTTAAAGTGAAATTGTTGTCTGGTCTAGTCCTCACATAAAACAATATGGTCATCCCTCAAAACATAGGAATAGAACTACCAAGCAACCCAGAAATATCAATTCTGGTATCTATTCCCTGTCAAATACAAAACCTTTTCTTTGAAAGAATATATGCACATCCATGTTCATTGCAGTGCCTGGTATAATTTCCAAGATATGAAATGAACTAAAATGACTAACAGTGAATAAATGGATCAAGAAGTTGTGGTATATTTACACAGTTAAATACTGTGCAGCTCTAAAGGGGAAAAAATGTTATTTACCACAACTTGGATGGATATACAAGATATCACGCAGTATAAAGTCAATCAGAAGAAAAGGAATAGACGCAGAATGATTTCTCACATAAGTGGAACTTAAAGATATGCAGCAAGGTAATCAAAAAAGGGCCAAAGGCAACACAGCAGAACCTGATCCACAAAATTTAGTTTGTGTGTGTTTGTGCGTGGGGAGGGATGTTTGAAGAAACGGGCAACTGGAACCTTAGGGAATAAGTGGGTACACTGATAATGTGGTGTTAGAATTATATACACAGGAAACCATTATTAACAATATTGAAAATAAAAGTACCTTAATCAATAAAAAAGAAAAAGAAAAAAGGATAAAAAGGATTCATATTTAGAGAGAAAATCCTACGAGTTCTCATCACAAGGAAATTTTCCCCTTTTTTCTTTTTCTGTTTATTGTATCTTTAGAAAAGAGGATATTTGCTTAACCTATTGTGGTAACACTTCACACTATATGTAAATCAAACAATCATGTTATATGAAATTTTTAAAAAAGCAAAAGCTACAATGACCCTGAATATTGCTATTCACAAACAGCTGGATCTATCTAGCTTTTAGATCTAACTAGCTAGAATGACTTGATCACTTGGATTCTCATAATTCAGTTAAAACATTATTTCAGCAGCATGCTTTTGCAATATAGACAACCTCCAAGTGGTGTTGATGAAGATCATAAGTCTTGAGATGATAAGTTAAATTGTCATATTGTAGTAACATTTGCATCCCACTTATCATTAGCTTCCTCTGTCTTCCTAAAATACCCTCACCTTACCATTCTCCAGCTTTCAAATATTATCCTTACATTCGTAAATTTGATTAAATGGTAATATTGGTTAAACATATTGCTTAATAAATAAATAATCCCATTACCTTTTCCATCTAGGAAAGTGTTCATGTAACTTTGCATGTTATCAGCACTTTCAAATTTAACCACCAAATTTGAAAAATGGAAAAATGAGGTCATAACATCTTTGGGGTTTCTGTAGACATAAACAATCTGCAGGGAAATTATAAAATTATTTTAATAATTCATGACTATCTTTACAGTTTTTAAACATCCAGATAAAATATATTAACTCATTATACATTTCACATATACAAGTACATTAAGACAAGTTTTTTACTGTTTGGGGGGAGTTGGGTGAAGGAAGTCACACCCAGCTGTGGTTTACTCTCAACTTTGTGCTTTGGGGTCACTCCTGGAGGCCTAGGGGACTATATGAAGTGCCAGGGGTCACTTGTTGGCTGCATGCAGAGTAAGTGCCCTACCCACTGTACTATGGCTCCAATCCAAGAACAAATTTCTAAGAATAAAATTATTTGTATAAATATTATTAATATGGAATTTTACCTTGCATAGAGACTTTTAATTTACCTTACATGAGTATTAACTGATACTTGACATATATTCAAGGAAGCATTAGAGAGTAAGAATAAAGACAGAACTACTTAACAAATGCTTTGGGGGAAAATAATTATTCAATAAAACAATGAAAATGAATTATCATGTTCCTGCTAAGGTGGCAGGCTTGAAGAATAATGGTTTGGTTAGTGGGGAGTTGTGGAAGGTCATGTGGTGGTGGGATTGGTTTTTGAGCATCAAAAGCATGTAACAACTGTATCATGAACAGCTTTGTAAAAGGAGGTGTTTAAATAAAGTATCTTATCTACAAAAAACAAAACAACAACAAGAGAAAAGACTAACTTTTGAAGAATGTAGAATCAGGGAGGGACTATGGAAACTTAAAAAATGAAGATTTCTAAACAGTAGTAATAAAACAAATACTTAGGAGCTAGATAGGTAGACCAATCACTACCCAGGGTTCAAACCTCAGCACCAAATTCCTGAGCCCCACCAGGAATTCCACAAGCTCCACCAGGAATGATCTCTAATAAACCCTAAGCACATCCAGGTGTGGTTCAAAAGCAAACAACAAAAAATAAAAACAAATCATATGTTCTTGGCAAATAACATGGAACAGTCAAAATATTTTAAATCACATGCAGCTTTACATTATTTATAATTTTATGCTAAAAACAAAAGTATTATTGACACAAGTTTACATACAAACATTTAGAAAAACCTGAAGTGTATTAGTATAAACGCTGTGGAATGGTAAGCATTTTCAGCAAGACACAAGAGTCAAAAACTATGAAGATTAATAAATTAAGTTTCAAAACAACACAGTAAAGATAGTTTTGAAATATCATATTTACTCAGTCTTTGATGGTAAATGACACATTTAGAAAATATTTGTACCGTTGCTTAGACAAACCTGAAAATAAAAGATAATCCAGAGAAAAATGAGGGTCAAAAAGATCAGAATACTTAAAAATTTAAATATATGTAAATATAATTCAACTTTATTAAAATTTAAAATATACTCAAATTGATAAAAAAAATTCTCTCATGCAAATTAAGAGAAAACAATCAAGAGAAAAAAATTTAACCTATGTTAGCAAAGACTGATAATTCCAATCAGTGATCAACTAGGGAAGAAACAAATATTTTTACATGCTGTCTAAAGAAGCATAAATTGGTAGTTAGAGCTAATGAGGTAATAACCAATAACATTAAAAACTATGGAATCTTTAACCTGAAAAATTCCACTCTCAGGGAAACATTTTACCAGAAACAAATGTACAAATATTTCATGTAAGTTACTTTGCTATGACATACTTGTTCACCAAGGGGATGGTCTGTGGATGTAGTTCATATCTGATATCCATGCCATAAAATGCTACAAAATATTTGAAAATGGAATTTTATGGGCAAACATAAAATAAAATCTGCTATTTATGTTTATAAGGCAAAAATGTGCATGGTGACAAAATTTATATAACTAAGTTTTTTATATTATTTATTTATTTTTCAGTCTTCAAAGAGATTCTTAGAAGGCCAGTGGAGCTAAATCTACAGATTATCAGTCCACCGAGTCAGTAGTGCAATGTCGGAGCCTGAAGATACTGTGCTGCTATGGCAAGCAGTGTTCAGAGGCCTCCAGGACTGCACCAGTGATGCTTGGGGGACCGAATGGCCCTGGGATCAAGCAAGTACTTTAACCCCTGTACTATCTTTCCAGTCATCAATATATAAAGAAATAATATAGAGATATAATAGTCACATTTGTAAGAATTTAATGAGTGAGGGAAGAGAAAAGAGTTGCGGGTACTTTTGTTTGTGCTAAGAGCTATTTCTACGACATACTTTAGCTTTTTTGTTCTTGAGACCGTTTGGCACTAAGTAATACGGCAGATGGGAAGAGAAAAGGCGAGGGGATGGTCTGTTGATGTAGTTTGTAGTTCGAATGTTGTATTCTAGGAACGGGGCTCTCTCAATTGTGTCCATCTTTTGAGTCTGTTTACGATGTTCCTCAAAATAAATTAAGCTTAATATCTGCTGAGTCCAGATGGTGCCTGCAAAAATAAATAATTTTTATTCAACTCTGAGTTAATTTTAATGATAAATGTCATTGTTAGTGCCATACAACTCTAATGTACTTGGAATGTTTAGTTTCTCTTATGCTCTTAGTAGACTTAATGAATTTCTCTAAGTTAGTATCCTACACTGAAACTGAAAAGATAAAATCGAAAGTTCTTAATTTTTCTTGAAAAATTATGGTTGTTATGATTCCATTAACATGATTCATATTAATTAATTCTATTTTTCCTGTTTTTGTGCAAACTTCCTTTTACACTTCAATGTGGTTTCCCATTTCTTTCTTTAAAAGTTTTCTCTTTTTTCTAGACTTTCACCTTTTGGAAATATAAGAAAATTGAGAGATCAAGGCCCCTTTTATAGCTTAATATTTCTTACATCATAGCATATTATTTCTCTACAAAGTTGAACATATACAAGATAATACATTTAAAAAAGTCTCTAGGGAAAGGCATATTTGTTCACATTTATTACCAAACCAGAAGGAAAACTGATAATATATAACCCTACACTTCAAACTTACCAGATTTAGGGTAGGTAATTATGAAGACATCATCATCTCTAATTTCAAAGTCTTCTAGATTTTCTAGTAAGTCACTTCTAACTAAAGAACGTTCAAAATTGTAGCCTTTAAAGTGCAGTAAATAATCATCACTGTCCATAATTCTTTACCTACAGGTAAAAAAAGATAAAATTGTTTCATGTTCTAGAATTGTATGCTAAAAATGTGACAAACTACAATGAAATGCCAGATGCATATCAGTTCTAATGCCTAATATATAGTTATTTAATATCCAAAGAAATCCCATTTGATAGAGGTATTATTATTATTACTATTTTAAGAAGGCGAAAACTAGATACTAGGAAACTAAAACAGTTTTCTCTAAAATCTCACAAGTGAAATATAACCATATTTTGACAGTAAAAAGGCCCTCTCGTTGATCATCAATTTGCTCGAGCGGGCCCAGTAACGTCTCCATTGGAGACTTTGTTACTGTGTCTGGCATATCGAATACTCTCGGTAGCTTGCCGGGCTCTCCGACAGTATGATGAGAAAATTAAGGGTACAGAGATTTTCAGCTAATTGATTCAGATTTCCCTATAGCAGAGATGATGACTTTTGCTGCCAATTTTGTCAGTGTTTTTGCTTTTAATTCACATTTTTATTCTTTAATGTATCTTTCAATGAAGGTAAAAAAATCTTCAAATGAAATTTAAAAAAATTGTTCAATGAATATCCTTCCTTCCCTCCTTCCTTCCTTCCTTCCTTCCTTCCTTCCTTCCTTCCTTCCTTCCTTCTTTCCTTCCTTCCTTTCCTCCCTTCGTCCTTTTTTCCTTCCTTGTTTTCTTTTTTCTTATTCTTTCTCTCTCTTTTACTCTCTCTCTATCTCACTCTCTCGCTCTCTTTCCTAAATAATCTCTGTCTCAAAAAGAAGCTTCTTGGGCATTGAGATATGATTCACTGTTTTAAATGAATTGTGGGCAAAATCTTTATGAATAACAGCAGTTTTTTTTACTTTGGAAATGTTGCCCTCGTATATTTCCATTATATTTTATTGTAACTTTTAGATTTTTTCACTAATAACCTTATTTGGTCAAAATCTCAAATTAACTTAAATGACAAAGTTAGAATAAAAACAGGAATCAAAGATTCCAAAAACATATAAAAATGGTATCAGTTCTTGCTTCTAAAGTAAATAAACCAAAATTTAAATGATACTGACATTAAGAAAGCCCCTGTGCAAAGATGGTACACAATCGTGTAGCATACATATTTAAAAAACAAAACCAGCCATCCATGTGCTTTTTAGCTCTACCTGAGAAATCTGTTTTTGAATGTTAGACAAGAAAATCTCAGAATTTTGAATAATATTAGATTAGAGCATCATACATTTCAATTAAATACTCAAAATATAAATTTAGAAAAATTCAATCCCTTTAAAATTAACCTAGCTCACTTCATAAACAAGAGAAGTAATACACACTTTTTTCTAAGGAAACTTTTTTGGATCATGTTTATAGGAACAATCATAATAAGCAATCAAAATAAATTATTTAGTTTCTGCTTTGGGGACCAGTTGGAAATATTTAAAATATGATGGTGGGAAGGTGTAATGGTTGTGAAGTTGTGGAATTGGTGTTGGAATATTAAATGTAATAAATAATTGTGAATAACTTTATAAAAATAAAATTAAATTTAAAAAGTAAAACAAGGGAAGTGAGAGATTAGAGTTTTGTTGGTCAGAGTAAACAATTCCTTGTGTCAAGATCACATGGGTTTTGTGTCATTTTGCTTCTAAGCCCTGTAACAGGCTGATAGAATCAGTACTTCTGGGGAAAGTGACCTAGAAACATCTTTTAATAGTCCTACCATTCACAGAAAAGTATTTGAATTTTAATATAAATTGATAAAAGTTAATTTCAATAAGTATTTTATTTCAATCTCCAGTGAATACTTTTAGAATTTTATTTAACTTTCAGTTAAAGATTCTATTTAAGACCCAACTCACTGAAGATTTTCTCACTACTAGTCCAAGTTCCAAGTAGCTATCTATTTAGGACTAAGGATAGAATGGACTTCTGATAAATCTTAAGGAATAGTGAATAGAAGTAGATAGAGAGCTCTTTTGTCAATAGCATAAAAGAATCATCTAGGAAAAGCTTTGAGACCTCAGCCTTTGGAGTGTGATTAGAGAAAATTTAGAGCATGGACATGTGAAGAACGCTTTAAGTAGGCGATTGAGTTGTGATGAAAGGCAAACATAGTGTCCTTCACTGGTGCCGCCTGATTACCCAATAAGGCAAACAAAGAGGGTCAGGCAGCCCTTCAGAGTCTTAACATCATGAGCAGGAGGACCTTTTGCTATTGTATTTACTCTGTCTTGCTTTGTCTTATTAGGGAATTCTGACCATGAAACTTACAGCACTTCCGGTGTATGAGGAAAACAGTCCATTTAATATATTTCTGTACTCAACCTTGCTGTTGCCACAAAGGTGAAAACTCAAGCACAGTTCACACAAAGGTTTTACATATTGTTGTGCCTAAGTGCTAAGTGAGCACCCTTGCAGTTAACATGTTTTGTGGCTGTATAATCTATTACAAGTCCTTTTACAAATTCATTTACTGAGGCACTGTGATTTACAAAGTTATTCATGGTTGAATTTTAGGCATACAATGTTTCAACAGCAACTCCTCATTCAGTGTCCACTTCCCTCCATCAATGTCCCGTTTCCCTCCCTCCCTCATAGTCTGCCCCTATGAGAGGCATTTGTGGTTTTTTTTTTCCTTTCTAATATTGTAAACAGGCTGGAGCGATAGCAGAGCAGTAGGGCATTTGCCTTGTCGACCAACATGGCTGACCCGGGTTCGATTCTTCCGCCCCTCTTGGAGACCATCTCGCCAGCCAGACAAAGCCTGGCAAACTACCCGTGAGGTATTCAATATGCCAAAAACAGTAACAACAAGTCTTACAATTTGTTGTGAGACGTTACTGGTGCCTGCTCAAGCAAATCGATGAACAACGGGAGAACAGTGCTACAAAATTGTAAACTGTGTTTAGTGTAAGCTGTGGTTTAATATACTGGTGTTGATAGTTTCCTTGCATGTCGCTTTACCACTTTGCAGTGCCACCTGCTGTCCAGAGAGGCCACTTCTCTCCAGAATTGTTGCAAGGCTCCCTTTTCGATCCTGAGACCTCCAACTCCCCCACCAACACCCGGATATACTTCCTATTGAAAACAAGTTTGCAATTTATGTTACCTTTAGACATTTGTTTCTTTATAAACTGCCTATGAGAAAAACCATTCTGTCTACCCTCTTCTAATGTAGCAGGATCCATCTCTTCATTCACCTAGAAAATCACCTGGTTTCATCTATGCAGAGTGGAATACTGCTTGGCTGTAAGAAAAGATGTTACAGATCTCAGGCAGACACTGAACATTCTTGCTGCTTCTCAGTTCCTGTTCTTTTAACTTTCAGATCTGTTCTATACCTGTCATGATTTATTGCCCTTTTATTCCCTTTTCAGTTCCTGGCATGAGTTGCTCAGAGGTCATGCTCCTAATTTCCACTTCAATCTCAGATGAGAGTTATAGTTATACAGCTCCTATCTTATTAAAACAAGGGAAAAGAGACGGTTAAGGTAGATCCATGTGGATCTTGGCAGTGATATGTCATATTTTATGCATTTCTAATAAGTACAGAAGAAATAAATTGTAAAGAGAAAATGTGAGCTTGTTTCTTTTTACTCTTTTTCTGCAGGGCATGGAGGTGCCTTCCAAGTGGTGCTCAGGATGCCTGAGCTCACCACTACTGATTCTCAGTCAAGCAGTGCTCAGGGCTCCACCCTTTGAAGACCATGTGTGGGGGAACCAAACTTGGTCAAGAACATGCTAGGCATCTACCTTAACCAGTCTACTACCTGCCTGTCCTCTTCTTATTACTCTTATGCTGAAATACAAAAGAAAAAGAGAGAAAAACTTAGAAACTAGAAAATGGAGGAGAAAAAAAGTGAATCCTGTTGTATATTGAAGAGATAGACTTAAATGGCAGTTTGCAAGTCTACCCTTTTATTACTTACTGTTTGCAGACCTCTTGAAGCAAAATCCACTTCTGATACAGTTTTAAGGAGGTAAGAAATTGATTTATTGCAGAGATATAAATACTCCCTGCAGCTTGTTCTTGGCCAATGGAAGAGTTTGAAGCACTTAACAGACAGGATTATTTGGGTAAACACATTGGGCAAGATTTTATTGGCTTTGGAGTTTATACTAGAAACAACAAAGGAGTCAAAACTTGTAGTTATGAAAAACAATTGTAGGAAAACAGTAGTCATATAATTTAACCTTGGGAACAATACAGTAAATAAAAAATGTGTTTGAAAACTATAGCAACAACTTTCTTGAGCATGAAGGATACTTAGTAAAAAAGATTTAAACTTATCTCAGGGGGCTGGAGCTCAAGCCCTGGCTGGAGTGATAGCACAGCGGGTAGGGTGTTTGCCTTACAAGCGGCCAACATGACCGACCCGAGTTCGATTCCTCCACCCCTCTCGGAGAGCCTGGCAACTACTGAGAGTATTCGATATGCCAGACACAGTAACAACAAAGTCTCCAATGGAGACGTTGCTGGGCCCGCTCGAGCAAATCGACGATCAACGGGAGGGCCTTTACCTTTTACCTTTACCTTGTGAAACTATGGAAGTTTCTAAGGGCATTGTACAGAAAGTTCAGGGCTCCACCTGAAGTATTTAACTTTACTTTCCAAAATACACAGCTTTGTCTTTGCAAATTGATTAAGCCCCATGGCAGTTTTATTCAAAGTTATGTTGTCATATATCAACCAGTTTTGTTTCATTTGCTTCTAGTTTTTGGTTTGGGGCCATACCTGCAGTGCTCAAGATTTACTCCTGATTCTGCACTCAGAAATTACTAGTGGTGGAGTTTGAGTGACATTTGAGGTAACAGAGATTGAACCGAATGCAGTGTGCAAGACAAGCTTTATACTATCTTCCTTGCCTACAGCCAATTTAGAAGAGTTATATAATAATTGGCATTTCCCTCAGACCTGTCCTGAAACCTTTTAGACTTTTCATTCATTCTTCTGTCATATGCTGCCCACATAAACTGCTTTTTGATAGATTTTCTCCGGTTTCCACTAAGCACTTAACTTTATCCCACCTGTAAGAAAAAGGATTTAGTCATTAAATGTTCAACCCATATCTTGTTTCAGATAATGTTTATGTATTAAGACAGCAATTATTTTTTGTAAGAGACAGAGCTTGAAAAGATAAAATCCATGGGAGTATATTATTAAAACAAACAGTTCAGTCCAAAATTTATGATTTTTAATATGAACTTTCATGAAAAATAATGCTTAAGAGAGCATTTGGATATGAGATGATTTCGATATTCTCTCTTTCTAGGCCAGTCTGTAATGACGCTAGAGTGAAAAAGACAGTATACAACTATTTTTGACATTTCTTTTGCCTGTTGGGTGCCACACTTCTGAAGTGCTCAGGGTTTGCACTCCTGGCTCCGCACTCAGGAATCACTCCTGGTGGGCTCAGGTAGCCATTTAAGATGATAAGGACAGCACCAAGATGGGCCACATGCAAGGCAGCCTACACACTGTACTATCTCTCCAGCCCCATGCATTTCTATACTGAACATTGCTAAGTCATCTAACTATTGAAAATGTTACTAACTTGTTTATTTCCATATAATTTTGTAATTGACCCTCTATTCATATTTTTACTTCATGGCTCTTTGTTCTGTTCCAGTTTTTCATTGTACCTGGTTTATTTATTTTTTTTTTGGTTTGGGGACACACCTGGCAGTACTCAGAGTTACTCCAAGCTTTAAATTCAGGCATCACTCCTGCCAGGATTTCAGGGTCCACATGTATTGCCAAGGGATGAAACCCTAGGTCAGACAAATGCAAAACAAGTGCCCTATCTGCCTTACTTCCTCTCTTGCCCTCAATCTACGTCTGTTTTTATGCAAATATGTACCATTTTGATTGCTATAGCTTTGCAATCAACATAGATTGATATCAGGAAGCAAATGCATCCATGTATGTTCTTTTGTCTCAAGATTGGTTTATCTTTTTGCAGTAGATTGTGGTTTCATGCCATACCTTACTAAGATTATTTATTTTTATGGGAAATTGTTCACTATGGGTTTTTTTTTCTTTAAAGTAGCTTGTATTTGATCATTGTATAATTGAAACCCAAGCACAAAATTTGTAAGTCTACAACTGTACCTCAAAATTTTTTTTAAAAAAGTAGCTTGTATTGTTAATACTTTCCCTGTCAGTATTGCTTTTTCTGATTTCATAGATTCAACTACAGTTATAGAAATACCGAGTAATGATAAAAACTAGCAGCTCTTAGGAGAGAAAAGAAAATACAGAGTAATTTTTTAAAATACACTGAAGTGAAAGTAACAACAAAAACAAACAGAGATACTGAACTCACTGAAAACAGAAACAGAAACAATACACGAGTGAAAAAATGCTATGTATTGGCAAAGCAAATTTGGCAATATGTTTTGATATACTCAAATTTTAGGTTTTCTTTTTTCTTTATTAACTAGTTCATTGTTTGCTGAAGTCATTAAAACACTAAAAAAGTTTCTTTTTTCAAAGGACTGTTGACAAAACCATTAGCATCTGGAATACAACAGGATGTGTCCTGAGCTTTGACTAAACAATAAAGTCATCTCTTCAGCTTGGCTCAGCATTACCATCTCCTAAAAGGAAAAAGAAATGTATGTTGGAGAGGAAGAGAAAGAAATGTTAACTTACAGAAATCAAATCCAACATTTATTGCCTTTATGTAAGGATGCATATAGTTATATATGTATTATTTAAGTGTATAATCAGCAAATTCATATTATAATGCATTGTTGCTTCACTAAAAATAAGCATGGTATAAATTTTGAAATTAGCCTGAATATACAGTGTAAAATCTGTGCCTATCCCCAGATGGAAAAGGTGCACTCTCCCCTCCTACTCTAGATGGAATCCCTGTGACCAAGAACTTCCACAAGCAAACACCCTGATCACCCCTGTCGCCGTCCCCATATGCAGGTCCCAGGACTAAATCTCTAGGCCACATGGCAATAGAGGATGGGGGCTTTCCCTCCCTGGGTTCCTGCCAGCCCAATAGACTCGCTGTCTCGTCCACAATTTGCCTCCGGGTGCCATCTTAGGAGACCAACGGCCCTGGCCCTGAGACTCCTAGTTGAATCCCAAAATGTATTAGTGCCATACAGAGATGTCTCTGGAACCCAACCACTTACAATCTAGAAATTTACATTTACAATTGTGGCCGTGCAAGCTCTCATGATATTCAAAATGAGAAATGGGAAATAAATTATCTAGCGTCTGCCCCTGGCAGGTAGGCTTAAATGGTGATGGGAAATTGTGGGCAAAACATAATGCCCAAAATTAGGGGAAATAGTCTGCCACTCACGGGTATTTTGCCCTTGAGTAAAGGAAGGGCTTTCTTATTTTGTTTTTGCTGCCTGTAGGGATGTGATGACTACCCCCAATGTGGGGAGTTGGAGAGATGAGAGACCAGGGCAGCAAGATGGAGCACAGAAAGACTAGCAAGGGGAACAAAGGGAGAAGAATGTAGGGGAATAATTCAGGAGCAGGCGCACAAAGAGCAAGAGATGCAACTGCGAGATGGAGTGCGGAGAGATGAGCAGGGAAGACAGGAGGAGACGGGAATGAGGGGCAATGTGAGACTAGAATGAGGGGCTGAGGGAGACTGGAACAGGTGCGTGGGGAGAATGGAATAAATGGCAACTGATCATCAACCAGCTTGGCTCTCAGAGGCAGGGTGAGAACTGGGATGTGAGTGGTGGAAAATGTGCACTGGTGGAGGGATGGGTGTTTCATCACTGTATGGCCGAATCTCAAGCGTGAAAGCTTTGTAACTCTATTTCATGGTGATACAATTTTAAAAAAAATGTTATGTGTGGAGTTTATACCCACTATAAAACTATTTCAAATCTAAAGAAAGGGAGGCTGGGGTGGAAGACAAAACTTGCATGCAGGGGCTTCAGTCGCCAGCATGGCATGGGGTCAGCTCCTGGGCAGTGCCAGCATCAAGTGTCTTCAATCAGTTTAATCAATGGTTGAACAAATAGCGGGCTGGAGTGATAGCACAGTGGTAGAGCGTTTGCCTTGCATGCAGCCAACATGGCCGACTTGAGTTTGATTCCTCCACCCGTCTCGGAGAGCCCGGCAAGCTACCAAGAGTATCTCGCCGGCATGGCAAAGGCTGGCAAGCTACCCGTGACGTACTTGATATGCCAAACACAGTAACAAGTCTCATGATGGAGACGTTACTGGGACCACTCGAGCAAATTATGAACAACGGGAGAACCGTGATACCGTGAAAAAATAGCAGTACTCCTACATTATTAAAAAAAAGATTGTTTTAAAAAAAATTTATGCCTACAATTCTTATGCATTTTTACATACATCAAAACCATTGTAAGCTGTAATGTAGAATGATTTTATTTAATTATAAAGATATTTTAATTTACTAATATTTATCAGAGGCTGGAGCGATAGCACAGCGGGTAGGGCGTTCGCCTTACAAGCGGCCAACATGGCCGACCCGAGTTCGATTCCTCCGCCCCTCTCGGAGAGCCTGGCAAGCTAACTGAGAGTATCTCGCCTGCACGGCAAAGCCTGGCAAGCTACACGTGACGTATTCAGTATGCCAAACACAGTAACAACAAAGTCTCCAATGGAGACGTTACTGGGCCCGCTCGAGCAAAATTTATCAGTTATGTAAATAATCTATTCATTACTACAAAATTTTATTTTGTGTGATTCTGATTTATAAAGAAAAGAGCATCTGTGGTTGGCACTGTATAAAAAATGGTAGTCTTTTTTCAAACTGTATAAAAAATGGTAGTCTTTTGTCAGTCATATAGTAGATATTAGGCGTTCGCCTTACAAGCAGCCAACATGGCCGACCTAAGTTCGATTCCTCCGCCCCTCTCGAAGAGCCCGGCAAGCTACCGAGAGTATTCGATATGCCAAACACAGTAACAACAAAGTCTCCAATGGAGATGTTACTGGGCCCGCTCAAGCAAATCGACGATCAACGGGAGGGCCTTTATTTATTTTATTTATTTATAGTTTCCTCATTAGATGCCTTCAGGAACCAAAATATGTAGTA